CCCCCCCCCCCCCCCCGCCTTCAGGCAACGCGCAGATTGCGGTGCTGACCGGAATGTTTAACAGCGACAACTACAACTGGCGGAGCCTGACTTCTCCGGGTATCACGGGACTGTTCAACAAGTTTTGCCTGACCTCCGCGACAAGCAACCTCATGGTAAGCGGCGAGGCGTCAAGTAAGCGCTGGTTTCGTCGCTGTCGCTCGAAAAACCGCTGCTCTCCTTCCTACGGAGCGTTTCATGCGTGTTCACAGGCCACACGCCAAACGTGTAGGTAGGCGGAAGAGCACCAGTGTTTGCATTCCGGTGGCGCCACCGTCCGTCATGTTTCGCTGAATGAATTAATGAGTGTCGGCCCTAACGGCGGGGCCGTTTTCGTCTTGTATGCCGCCCGGGCAGGACGGGAAGCTTGAAGCTTGTTGATAATATATCATCGTCACCTCAGCCGTCGACGGCGCGTGCTAAGAACAAGGGGGGAGGGCTCCTCATGTTTTACGTGCCTTCGCTGTTTAGTGCGAGTTTCGGTATGTGTTGTGGGATGGTTTTTGAATGAGAAATTCTTCTTCATTCGTTGGTCTCGATCCCGCGATCGATCTGCTCTAGTTATCCTTTTCTTTCCTGGCGCATCGTTCTTGCCGCGTCGCCATTGTTCTTTCGTTGTTTTTACAAGAAAAAAACAAAAAAAAAGAAAATTCATCGTCCGTCGTGATGGCAAAAAAACCAAACACAAAAACAACAGACTTGCGCACCCGGGGACAACACGTACGACGGAGTCCAGACGGACGTCAGCCTCATCTCGTCGGTCAGCCAGTTCCACTCCATCTACACCACCGAGTCGAACAACGGTGAGATGAGCTGAAATGAGAGAGAGTGAAAATACAACAGCATCCATAACAACAACAACAACAACAACAACAACAACAACAACAACAACAACAACAACAACAACAACAACNGGGGGGGGGGGACCCCCCCCCCTTTTACTCCACCGAGGGCACCAACGGTGTGCCATGGAAAACAACGACCGCGCTTAGCAGCAGCGTCGATCACCGCTACACCAACGACACCCGGCCGGCCGAAGACCTCCGTTGTTGTCTTTTTGCAGTCACAGCGGTGCTGGCGAAGGGGTCGTATTTTCTGCGACCTACCGCTGCTGCCGCTGGCTCGCTGCTCGGGGTGGACGTATTGTTTTGTTGCTTCCGGAGAATCGGTCGCGGAACCCCCCCCCTTCCCCCCCCCGCCCCTACATCGCATGTTGCTGTTGCCCTCCTGGCCTGCGTATCAGCTGTCTTTTCTCATGCGATAGTCCCAGCCGTTGCCC